CAACCTACACCGCCTTTAAAATATGCAACATGGGAGACGAATTTCGTCTCTCCTATGGATAAATATACATAAACATAACGATTTGTAAATATTCACAATATTAGTAAAAGTGAGAATTTGGTAAGAGTTAGAACTTGCTAAGAATTAATAACAATGGGCTAACTCATTCGTCAATCAGTTGAAAATATATTGGTAATATAAAAATTAAGTTTCCTGTTGTACTTTAATTTTTAATTATTTCGAAAATATATTTAAAAAATTGTCTTTGGGACTTATAGTAAACTAAAAATACTACTGCACTAAAAAAGATATAAAATAAAAAAACAAAATATATAAATATAAAGGAAAAAGAGGCGCATCAGATTTGCCCTGTTATCGTCAACTGCTCTCTGTTTTAACTTTTCTTGAAGACTCTTCAACTTCTCAAACCTAATTAAGTTTCTCACCCCAATTTTCCAACTCCTGCCTACCTCAACGTCAGCCAATTTTTTTGATATGTATCCAGCGCTTTCATGCTTTTACGTTTGTCTACAGTAGTTTTTCTTCTAAAATTATTGTAGTCAAGCCTGTTGTGGTTGCTTCAGAAATTTTCGATATTGAATTACACTATCAGAAGAAAATAGAGTTTGTTTTGCTTCGGAATCAACAGACTGAGGGGTTGCCAAGAAGCCCTACAAAATTCCACTTTACTTTTGCAAAAGACTCTACAACTTCTCGCAATAAATTCAGTTTTTACGGCACTTTGACATGGAAGAACAGAAAAAACTCGCAAGAAAAAATCGAATATGCATACAGAAACAGAAACAGGCTAAATTTTCCTCGAACGGTATGAAATTTTAACATTATATAGATCATGAGTAATTTTGCAGTTCTTTAAACAATTGGACGTAAATTCGGTCTCTTACTAAATCTTTTTGTTCTACTATTTGTTCAGTTTCATAGATGCATTAGATTCTCAAATTTAAGTATAATTTTAAAAAACATGTGTCCTATATATCGACGTATTTTCTGATCCTTACACCATAGTACTCTCTATTATGCTGTGTATGGTCTTTCTTCCGAATATGNGCTCAAATTTAAGTATAATTTTAAAAAATATGTGTCCTATATATCGACGTATTTTCTGATCCTTACACCATAGTAGTCTCTATTATGCTGTATATGGTCTTTCTTCCGAATATGCATTATTCGATATATCATTGCATAAATTTAAAATATATTATATCATATGTTTTATCATTTTTGATATGTTTACCCATCCCGTACATCTTATGCATTTTTTAAATTTTAGAGCATTTATAATTTTTAAGTACTTTTGGTGATTAGTTGTACAGGTTTGTCGTCTTTATTAGTCGCTTTTATACCTGCTTTACTCAGTTGCAAGTAGAGAAAAATCACAATTCTAATCAGCATATCAATTCTTATATACTAACCTTTAATGATAGTTATTGTCCTTAAACATCCTATAGATTATTTCATTATATTGGTTTTGATAGTTTCCCTACCTTTTTCCACTTATAACAGTTACCTCTTTTTTTATTTTATGGTTTACAGACTTTATCCATTCTACTACTATCAGACGGAATGCTTTTGAAAAAGGAAAAACAGAACAATCATTAACGGACATAACAAATCGTCTGAATTCCCCTCAATTATGTATTGCACCCATAAAGATTTGTGAACAAGTTTCATCATCTCAGTCTCAACAACAATATCCAAATTCAATGCAACAACAACANCGCAACAACAACATTTGCGATATGATTTGTGGCCTTCAAAATTGCAAAGCGATCATCTTTTACCAGATTTAAATGAGCTACCATTATTGCAAGGTAAATATTTGTGTAAATTTTGTTATATCTTATTTTGAAAATTTGAGGAAGTCAAACTTTTGTGTCGCTATACTGAATCTCAACAAAAATATAAATTTTTTTAATTTATATACTTTTTTCTCNAGTTTTTAATTTATGTACTTTTATCTCATATGCGTAATGGACTGGCCAGTAGAATAATTTATAAAATAAAAGCTTAATTTGCTGCCATTATTTGCTTTTGTTTATTTTATTAAGTACAACATGTTTGTTATAATTATAGAATTATTATTTTGTATGAATTTTCTTTTTGTCGTTCTACTTTTGAAAATTTTATTAAGCGATTTATCTTCTCTTTTGTGATTTTTTTTTTTTTTTTTAAATATTTGTTTGGTTGATTAGGCTTAATCTTTAGAATACTTTTAAATGAAGTTTTGTTAGCCATCTAATATAACATGTTGTTTGATAGGGGGTTTACAGTTTCATTGGAAGTATGACTAATTAGAGGCGAAGTAAGATTTAGTTCATGTTTGTAATGCGAGATTTTAGCCAAAGTTAACCCTTATTGATGGGAGTCGGCTTGTATTTGACCTCTATATATACTCTTGACCATCTTTAATTTCATAAGTTTGTTAAGGTACTATCTTTAGTTTAACTTAATGGAATGAGATTGAAACTAACAGTGACACTGTTAAAACACAAAAATCAAGAGTTATTTTTTAAGTTAAACCCAGCTATAGAGTTATTTTTTCAAGGTCAATATTGCAATAAACTTAACTTTTTCTTGACCAACATGAAATATAAAAAATGCTACATATTAAGTTTGTTTACATAGAATTTAGGATATAAATATTGGTTTGATAGTTTTCCTATCTTTTTTCACTTCTAACAATTAGTTTTTTTGTTTTTATTTTATGGTTTACAGAATTTGTTGATACTATTATCATAGGGAATGCTTCTCAAAAAGGGAAAATAAAACAATCATTAACGGATATAACAAATCGTCTAAATTTCCCTCGATTTCGTAGTCTCCCCATAAAGAGTTGTGGACAAGTTTCATCTTCTTATTCTCACACAATATCCAAAATCAATGCCAGAGCATAATTTGCGATATGGTTTGTCGAGTTCAAATTTGCAGAAAGAACATCTTCTACCAGATTTAAATGAGATACCATTATTTCAAGGTAAATATTTATGTTTGAGTTATTTAACTTATTTTTGAAATTTGAGGAAGTCAATTTTTTGTGCCGCTACATACATCTCCACATAAATAATGAAGTTATTAATTTATATACGTATAACTTATATGCGAAACTTTATGGGCAACAGAATTATTTTAAAAACTAAACTTTAATTTGCTGCCATTTATTTGCTTCTCTTTATTTTCTCAAGTACAACATGTTTGTTATTTTACAATTCTACTTCTATGAGTTATTTTTTATTTGGGTTCTACTTTTGCAATTTTCATTATTTTAAATGCACCCCTATAATTTCAAATTCAGTATTGCAATATACTTTTTGTTCAATATGAAATTGAAAAAAAGGCTAACAATTAATATTTATGTTTAGAATTTGAAGATGACAATATTGATGGTGATATACCAGGTATGCCATTTAACTCACCGCAACTCATAGTCATACATACAAGTTTATTAATTTTTAATTTATGCATCAAGGTCATATGCAATCCAACGTACAAATTCATGATGCAAATGAAGATGACGATGTATTTGAAGGTATTCACATATAAACTCATCAATGTTCGATAATGTTAAAATGTATTAACAGTTCCAAATATATTAAATTTCAAATTTTAAGATCTAATTATTATTATTTATAGATGATGAAGTAGAGAGCTGGATGACCAATGAAGGTAAGTATGACGTATTTTANATATACTTTTTGTTCAATATGAAATTGAAAAAAGGCTAACAATTAATAATTATGTTTAGAATTTGAAGATGACAATATTGATGGTGATATACCAGGTATGCCATTTAACTCACCGCTACTCATAGTCATACATACAAGTTTATTAATTTTTAATTTATGCATCAAGGTCATATGCAATCC